TCTCAGTTTGCCTGCTGAGCTATTCTTTGACATTCAGGGCCCTTTTTAATAGGTGTGAAAGTAGAAGTACAGACCTAAAAGTCTCAATGATGGCATTTTCCATACTTATTGAGGTTAGATTTCATCCCTCCCTGCTCATTCAGGTAAGATTTTGTGACTATATGTTGGAAGAAACAGCAGCTTCTGCACTTGTTCTTTCTGCTTTCTTGCCCACTAAGGATGAAATGGTTTAGACAGAGAGGAATTGGGATCTTTTGTCTTCCTTTCCTGCTTGCTTTTCCTTCATTGCTTCAGCTGTTGGTTTCTTGAGCAGGCAAGTGAGTGCACTTATGCAAAAGTATTATGGACAGATAACTTTGTCTAATCCAGTCAAGGCTAATTAAGGGACTGCCCTCTGTTTTAAAACACTACATTGTCGGTTCTTAGGAAAATAGATCAATCCCTTACCAGAGGAATAAAGCACTAAATAGACAACCAAACAGTTGTAGGAGATTTATGGTCCTATTGGATTGAACCTCTGGACCTGGATTCATATTAGGCCAGGAAATGTTCTGACTGCTTTTGGATGTGGAAGTCCTGGAAGAGGATTCCCAGCTTTTTGGGGTTCACATTGTTGGTTAGAGTAACACTAGCTGGGCACAAATTAGTCACATCAGTTGGGTTCGTGGGTGCAATTGAGGAAGCAGCCTACTTTGCATGGGACTATCACCTTCAAGTTCTAGTTGCTTATATTCTCTATCCAGAGGTCAAAAACAAAAACCTACAGAAGTCTGAAATGAGTGATTATTCTCCTCAGGTAGTTTTAGTAGGTGCACAGTTGGCAAGATCCCCAGTTCAACTAATAGAGTGCTGGCTTTATCGGGGCACATGTCAACATATCTCTAATAGTGTCTAAGGCATAGCAAGAATTGGGATGGCTTGTATCTGCCTTCAGTGATCAGGAAGAAATGTTTCCAAAACCTTGGTGATCAGAAAATAATGTTTCCAAAGAACAAACATGGTTTCCCTTCTGTAGTCTCTAGTAGTAAGATCTGGGGAGAAAAACTCCAAATTGTTGACTAGAAGTTGAACATATATTCTTCTTGAACTGTCTCTGTCACTCTGGTTCAAAAAGGAGAGACTTCAAATATTGGAGAAGTGGCTCA